AGAAATATAGCAGAAGCTTTGCAAACAAACTATTACTGCTTTTCCATTTAACTAGAATAGAAAGTAATGTCAACGTCAATATTTTTCACTCCCATTTTATGGATGACCGATATGGAGCACAGGAAAAATAAAAAGCAAAGTACCCAGAATTGCACAGAGACTCAGTTACTGAAACAGCAAATACCGGAGACACATCCCATTAGCCAGTGATGGATCTCGCCCACGCCTTCTAATAAGTACGTTTCCCCATCCTGGGGCTGTGCTCCTAATTTATTTCCAGTAGCTCAGGGTTCCTTAGCAAAAAAGTAACCGTTAATTCAGTTACAAGAATTACCAGCTGGTTCTCTGGTTTATTGCTGTGATTTCTCTAAAGCAACCATCTGTGAGTAGAAATGTCATTCTGCCTTTACTTTGCTTAAATGAGAAAAGGCATTTCTATGTGTCCTTGCAGCTCAGGGCTGCAGCAACACGGGGAAGGCTGCAGTCCCCCTGTTGAAGCCAGGATTTGCTGGGAAAGATGGAGGCAGGCAGAGGACCATTGGGGAACCAGCATGAGTTTGGGGACTGAGGATGACCTGGATAAAGCAGGAGATTCTCCCCCCACCTGGGCAAGTGCAAACACAGGAATGCTGTGCATGTCCCCACCCCCCCCCCCCCCCCCCCCCCCGCCAAGGTTTGGAGCCCCTGAAACACAGTAATAGCAGAGGTTTACTTAGCAAACACACAGGTCTCAATATGTGCCAGGTACTATTCTAAGAACTTTCCAAACATTAACATATTTAATGCTCAGAACAGCCCCATCAAATATGGTATTATTCCTGTTTCACAGATATGGAAACTGGGGCACAGTGAGGTTAACCGATTAATGTAGCTTGTCAGGATCTGCTTCTGACACCCCTTGTCAGGGCCGGGGACTGGCCAGGTCTATGGGCCCAGCTTAGGTAGGTTCTGGACGCGGACCACTAAGCTACCTTGCTCAGGAACAGTTTCTTTTAGGTGTTTGAGGGCTATCTACTTTAGCTAGAGAGAGACAGAGACAGTATCTTAGAGTAAAGCAGTCTTCTTAGAACAGATAGATCTTAGTCTTTAGCAGAGCTTGGTAATCTTCAGTAAGCGGATCTGATAGAATGCTCATGCTTTTTGACTGCCTTCTCCTCCAGCCTAATAAGGCTCATCTCGTGCTTCTCAACACCATAGGTGTAGCGACTGCCAATTCACCATTACGCTCATCTCACGAGCTCTCATGCTTGTTAGAACTAAATCTCTCCATGCCCTTTTCACCAAGGTGTTTTATTACAGGTATTTCCTGTAACTCTCACTCCTCTTAGCCACAGGCTATATAGGCTGCTACATTTCCCCCCCTTTAGTTTTAGTAAAAACTAAATTTTTACTGTGGTCAGGGCAGTTCTTCCTGTTATCTAGCTTTTTTCTTTCTAGGCAAAAGATGGTAATCATCAGAGTTCAGAATTCCAGGTATGGGCTCTTTAAATGAGGAAGCCCAATACAGATGTAAACTATTAGCCCCTGCTAGGGGAAAAGGATGATTGTGATGTTAATTTCCTTAAAGGTCTTTTTAAACTGAGAAAACTGAAATCTTTCCTGAGAGAATTTACTATTTCTTTAACTGTAGGAACTTTCCTTTGATATTTACTTAACGGACAAACAAAAGATAACGCTTTCCTTGCAATCTTTGCAAGCAAGGATTTTTCTCTCGCTATTCCAAAGGTTTTGCTACTCGCGGTACTGAAATCCACCCTTCACAGATCACAAAAGACTGTTACTTGTGGATTAATGGTTCCACACTTGGCAGTTCCTCTCGTGGAACTGTTACTCGTGGTCCAAGAAGTACCACCCTTCACGATTCCTTGATAGAGTTTTGCCTGCTTTCAAGCTGCTTTTCCAGTGAAGATTTGCTGATGTCAGACTCCTTTTTTTTCAAATGGAGTTTCCTAGCACAAAGGTGGTTTAACTTTTACTCTTCCCTCCCTTTGTTCTCACTTCTCATAATCTTCCAAAGGCTTCACTTGCTTCCGAGTGACACTTCCCCTTTGGTCCGTGTCCAGTCTCCTTAGCTGGACCCGGTTGTAGTGCACAGACACTGATGAGAGGTGGGTTACCGGGTTACCCCTTCACCACGTAGGATAACCTAATATTCCACAAGCGTATTTAATCTAATTATTTGCCATTGTCATCCATTGGTCTGGTTTAATTTCCCGTTTTACACTAAGGCACCACAGGTCTAACCAAGCTGGCAGAGTGCTCCCATGGCATAGAATTGAATTATACTGGTTTTTTTTTTTTAAAGAATGGTTTGAAATGAAAATACTGAACTGTTTTTCTTTCATTTACCAGTGGGTCCTGATTCTGGCCCAATTGATAATTTCCCTACAGTAAAGGTGTTCCGTCTCTACCAAATCGATAACGGCATTTGTTTCCCAGTGAAAGCCTTTTTTACACTTGGGACATCCACCTGGAGGTTTACATGCTTTTTGTTCCTTTAGCATTCAGCGTTCTTTTCCCTTTTAAACCCTTTTCTCTTATGGCCTAGCTTCCCACATTTATGGCATTTGATGTTAACTGGGGGATTTACCCTGATCTTCCAGCTGCCCAATTTGAGTTGTCATGTCAAGATAGCATTTACCTGCTTCAAGGATTATTCATCTGATCTCAACTGTTTTATATCAGCTGCCATGATATTAATTTCGTCTTTAAGCTGTTTCATCTGATATTTCAACTGCTGTATCAGAAAAATCATTTTCCATGATTTTTCTCTGACTTTCTTTAGGCCTTCTACTTTCTTTCCTTTTCAATTCTTAGAACCTTTGGCTGCCTTAAAGAGACAGGCGCTCTTTAGCTGTTCTTTTTACTCTGGAGTCTTAGTTGTTTTACAAACTTTACTTCCTCTATTTCTTTACCAGCTTCAATCTACCTCAATTTTCTTTTTAAAAAGAACTCTTAACTTCCAAAAAGGGAATCAGGCGTCAGTCTCTCAAAAGCTACTTCCTGCTGGCATTGGGCGAAGATATTAGGGGAAGACAGTTAGAAGTTCACTTCCCTGACTTAATAAACTCTTGCAATCTATTCCCAAACTTTTCTCTTTGCTGTTTTACCGAAGGCTTTTCTCACCCCTGAGGCTAAAGGCTTGTTTGCTGAAGGTTCTTATCTCCTAGTTCGATCTTTTCTCTTTCCCTCCAGTCTAAAGGCCTTTTTCTGCTTTTTTTTTTCCTCCAGCCACTTCACAGAAGAGGTTAAAGGCTTTTACCGGCTTTTTTCCCCACAGAGGTAGGAGTTAGAATTTAGAAAGAGAAAATGTAGGAAAGAGGAAAAACTGAATGAAAAAGGCCTGCTGTTGGCTCTTTCTTAGATGTTTCTTTTCCCTCTAAGTATTTCTATTTCTCTTTTTTTCTTGTTTGCTAAAGTTTATTTCCCTCTCCGTCCGCATTCACTGAATCCTGCTCACAGCACCATTTGTCAGTGGCGTTCACTATCCTGCTTCGGACACCACTTGTCAGGGCCCGGGACTGGCCAGGTCTCAGGCCCGGCTTAGGTAGGTTCCAGACGCAGACCGCTAAGCTACCTTGCTCAGGAACAGTTTCTCTTAGGTGCTTGAGGGCTATCTACTTTAGCTAGAGAGAGAGACAGTATCTTAGAGAGAGTAAAGCAGTCTTCTTAGAACAGATAGATCTTAGTCTTTAGCAGCGTTTGGTAATCTTTGGCAGAGAGACACCGTGCTGGCATTCTGCAGGTAGCAGGAGAGGAGACAGAATGCGCATGCTCCCCCTGCCTTCTTCTCCAGCCTAATAGAAGGCTGATCTCGTGCTTCTCAACCCTCAACACAGGGATAGAGACTGCCAATTCACCACTGCTCTCATCTCGCGAGCTCGCTCATGCTTGTTAGAACTAAATCTCTCTCCATGCCCTTTTCACCAAGGTGTTCCATTACAGGTATTTCCTATGATTCTCACTCCTTCTAGCTATAGGCTATATGGGCTGCTACAGTAGCTGAGCCAGGATTTGAACCCAACAAGCTGGCTATAGGGTAATGTGTTTCTCATGGAGGAACCAAATCTGTGTAGTCAAGCCATATGCAATCTAAGCTGAGCAAAACTGAGCATGAACAAAATGTAAAAGGCTTTAAGAGATCAAAGTCACTAACACGCAGAGGCTGGGGAAGGGTGAATCCAGGTGGATACGGCATCACCTCACACATTGAGTAAAACTTACCAAATAGGAATCTGCCATCTCAACACTCCTGAGAAGTGAGAGCTATTGCCCCATTGTACAGACAAGGAATTCAAGGTTCAGAGGAATTATGTGGTTTACTCAAGGTCACCCAGCCTGGAAGTGCAAAGCGGGGACTCAAAGCCAGGCTACGCATCCCGCACCCTGTGCTCCCTCCCCTGCATCTTTCAGGCTGGCTACCAGATCTCATTGTCAGAGACTGAGCAGGAGGTGCCCTCTGTAACACATATACACGAACACCAGGCACCTCGTGCCCGACAGCTGACTGCCATTTGCAGGTAAACAAAAGAAATCGCACCCCACAGGAGGTGGCAGAACTATACTCAAATATGCCTGGTGGTCCTTTCCCCACATCACCTCAGGCGCCCACTCCCAGTGTGCCAGTCTTCCTCTCCCTGACCCTCTGCCGCTGAAACCCCTGCTGGCCAGAAAGGCTGCAGATGGGCACACTGGCCCCTGTCCCCAGTGATGGGAGCCTTCCTGCCTGCTCCAGGATTGTCCCTGTCTGTGGGCAGAGGTCCTCCTGCCATGTATGCCGTCAGTAGTGCCCACCCCACTCTGCCTAGGAACCCTGAACCCCATCTAACCCACTACCCCGACTTGGAGAGGAGGCAAGGACTCCTTCCTGGGGCCCAGGCTGCCCAGCCTTGGCCTGGAGGCTTAGCTCCCTACCCTGAGGCCCCTACCCTTTGCTCTGAGACAGCAGCCCTCTCCCAGACATCTCACACTCGCTGTGTTTATGTTTGTCTCCACTTTAGGGATTTATTTCTCTACAAGGGACCCAAGTGACTGAACTTCTTCCTGGCCCTGAGGACCCAGGGAAGCACCTCTTTGAGATCAGCCCAGGTAGGCCTGAGCACCTTCCAGCTCTGTGCTGGGGTGGCCCTGCAGACCCTGCTGGGGTGTCCACAGCCCTGGCCTGGGAAGGGCGGATCTTCATGATGCTCCTATCTCCAAGCACAACTTAGAAATGGGGGCCAAATCTACAGGACACTGCACATCAGGGAAGAAATTAGAAAAATCCAATCCATTATCTGGACCGTTAGCTTTTGGGTGAGAAGAAAATGAAGAGTGTAAAATTCACGATAAACGCAAAGGAAGCAACCAGCTAAGAGGGACATGTTAGGGTGACAGTCCGAATGCAACACCCAGAAATAAGGCTGGAGAAAATGCTAGCACAGATTCAGAATGTTTAAATAAGGCTATCATGAATCCCCAGAGAACTGGAATGTGGTGGGAGGAAGATAAATAATTTTGCCTAGAGAACTGCTATCATATTAGCAGTTACTAAACAATTTTTGAAGTTCCAGGCTTTACAGTGTGGTGGATAACAGATCATAGTGTGAGTGAAAGTGCCTCGCAGATGTGCCCGTGTGGGCACAGCAGGGCCTGGTGCTGCAGTCAGGTGGTGTCTTCTGTAGGTTGGCATCCCCCAGAAGCAGAGCCTGAGACAAGGATTTGAGCACATTTTTTTCCAGTTGATCCCAAAAAGCAGTGGAAAAGGAGTTAGAGAAGGGAAGAAAGCCAGCCAGGGTGAGCCAGTGAGCGGATTGCTGCTGGGCACCCACAGTCCGTTCCCATCTGGGCTTCCTGAGACCATGCAGGATAGGCCTCAGAGGCGTCTCACCCAAGGAGTGAGAGGGTGACCCACCAACACCCACCCATCAGTCTTTGAGAGCTGCTCCTTGGTGGCATTTCTGTCCTGCCCTGCAGATGGGCCACACTCCCTACTGACAAAGAAGGCCTTCAGTCAGCCACAGATATTTGGGGAAGGAGGCCACCAGTGAGATAGGAACAGGAAGGGCTGAGGGGAGTCTGAGCAGGGCACCAAGGGCATCAGCTAGGTTTAGACATCTTTCTGGGAAGCTGTGGCTGTGAATCGAGTGTGCTAGGCCTCACTGGGGATCTGTGAGCCAGGACGTTTCTGGCCACCCCAACCACTGTGAGAAATTGTCTGTCCATTGGCTGTACATTGAGGGATGGTCAGCCCAGGCTCAGCCTACAGGAAACAGCCAGTGGGAGCAGGAGTGAGCAGACTTAAGCCTGGAACGGGGTATGTCTCCTTCCATCTGGGGTGAGGCAGTGGGGCCTGGGTAGGGGGAAGGCAAGGTCAAAGTCAGAGATGGAGGTCAACATAGGCCAGCCATCCGTTGAGAAAGGCACTGAGCATGTGCTGCAAGAACCGGAGGGGGACATCAGTTGTGTGCATGTGAATCTCTGGGTCAGAGCTATTTGCAAGGATTTCTTTGACTCTTGGGGGTAGGGGAAGAAGAAAAGAAGGCCCTTTGCCACATAAGCTGACGTATTCAGAATTTCTGGGAAATAGAACATGGACTTCTTTGTGGACCATTATTCTGCATCCCATAATACTCAAAACATCCGTCTGAGAAGGGGGTAATTTTATACCTATTTTGCAAAACAGACACTAGAGATTAGAAGGAATGAGCAGGTTCCCCGATGACACACACTGGGCAGTAGTGGAATTGGGGCTGTCCTCCCACATAGACCCTGCCACCTGGGGCCTGCTACAGGTGCCAGCACTTCTTCCCACCTAGCCTGGGAAGGTCTAGGGACTTGGTTATAGGAAGGCAGGCTCCTGAACCCCTTTCCCAACCTCAGGAGCAGTGGCCTGGCCAAGCGCCAGTTTCATACAAGTCCCCAGAACTGCCCATCACTGCTCTCCTGCCTCTGTACACATGGCTACCTCAGGGTCTTGGGGCAGAGTCTGGCAGCTGCTGAGGCCGCTCAGGGAAAGTGGGACTGGTAGGGGGCAGTGAGGGGTCCTATCTTCCTTTAGGGAGTGCTCGCAGCCCTCTATAGGCAGAGCACAGCGTCAGTGCTGCCCAGGGCCCTGGAGTATCTCCCTCCTCTCCCCTCCCTCCAGGGACTCCGGACTTTCAGTGTTTCCTATCAGCCTGGACAGACAGAACCTAGGCCACTGTACCCAAGGCCAGTGCCTGGTGCTGGTATCACCTGGTAGAGCCCCGACACTTTACAGCCTATGAAGGCATGAAAGGCCCAGGAAGGATAGGAGTGATCAGGGTTGGGGAGTTGGCAGGTAGGGGACTCTGGGCCTTCCAATGTTAGCCTGGTCCTAAGACAGTGGTTTTTCTGGCAGTTTCTGACCAAAGCTCCAGCTATGGGCCTTGTTGTGGCTAACATTGAATACTAACAATAATATTGGACTAACACCACCTTAAACCACAACCACAAACAATGGCAGGAAGGCCAAGGAAACTACTCACTTCTAGCTCAGCAAACCTCTTCTGTGTCTCTAGCCTTGAGCTGACCTTAAGGGCCCATGAGATCCGTGAGATGAGTAGGGCACAGTCTCATCCTTAAAGAGTCTGGGGTCATTTCCTTCCCTGAACAAACATTTTCTTCAAGACAAGTTGAAAGGCTTTGTCACTAGGCTGAGGATGATTACCTGGCGACAGGAGCAGGAAGTGTCACCAAGGAGGGCCATGCTGTGATGCAGCTCCTGATGGGGTGAATCTGCAGAGGTGAAACACAGGTGGTGTGGGTGGGGTGGTCAATGCAGCCAGGGGGACCCACAGGGCTCCCACAGTCCCACAGGGACTTGGTAAGGGAGCACAGAGAGCAGGGAGCTGAAGAGAGCAGGCAGAACCCTAATAGCCAGAGCTGGAGTCCAGGCCTCAGGCTGGGAATTCAGGGCAAGATGGGAGGAGGAAGTGGTGAGCAGCCAGCCACCACGGTAGGCCCTCACTCCCCACCAGCACCCCTGAGAGGAGGGAATACTTGACAACTCTTGGAAATATGATAGAACACCAAGGACAGTCGTGCATAAAATCAACTGCATACATTTCAAGTCATGGTCGCATGTGCACTCTTCAACTATACTCCAGCGACACTTTTTCAAGAATTAAAAATGGTGAAAATTACGCTGCGAGTGCCATCTAGTGGAGAGACCTGCCCCTTCCAGGACAGACGGTGCAGGTTCTGCTGCCCACCTCCGCTGGTTCAGCCAGGTGGCACTCTGATTCCCAAAGCAACCAGAAACAAAGTGTCCAGCCACTGAGCAAGACACAGGGAAAGCAGTGTTAAAAGGGGACTTTAGTGCCTGCGGGACTGCTCCTGCTGTCCTGTGGCTGTGACTCGCCACCCCACCCCACACAGTCAACACGCAGAACTGAGAAGTGGGAGCGACTGGGCAGAGGTGAGAGAAGCACATAGGAGCACCACAGATAAGGTTGAGGGAGTCGGAAAGGAGGGGTGATTACTTGGAAAATTGCTCAAAGACAGGATTTGCTTTTCATGGTTACCAGGCAGGGAAAATCAAATTGAGGTGATGGCAAATGAGGTTTTGCCAGGCAGAGAGGGGGGACCAGGCACACACCTTGCACCAAGCATCAGTTCCCTAGAGGACCAGGATATGAAGCACCCATGAGACCACAGGCCTGGGTGCTGATGGAGAACAGAGGGTGTAATGGGGCTGCAAACCTGCCAGGATTCTCACAGAGTGGGACAGAGAGGCAAGCTGCTACCTGTAGGTAGTCAGCTGAGATTTGTGGCCAGAACTCAACAGTGAGTTATGAGAAGTGCCCAGTTATGCTCCAGTACCCAGAAAGAGCTGATTGGGAGGAAGCTATGACCTCCATTCATACCATCACCCAGCAGGGGCACTGCAGGCTGGCCCTGGCAAGTGAGCTGAAAGTACCACCGAAAAAGCTTAGAACCAGATATGAAGGAACAGCAGCATTAAGGGCTGGAAACCTAAATGAGACTGTTTGAATGACTAAGAGTGGACTTTGGGTAAAATCAAGAAAGCTGCAACTCAAAGAGAAGGTAGAGAGTGATAGGCATAGTTATTGAGAGGATAAAACCATTTCATGTTTATTCTCCAATGAGAATTTGTATGAGGGTAGGTAAACTGCAATAACAACGAGCAAATCTCAGGATCTTGACTTTTTTTTTTTTTTTGGCCGGGGCTGGGTTTGAACCTGCCACCTCCAGCATATGGGGCTGGCGCTCTACTCCTTTGAGCCACAGGTACCACCCCAGGATCTTGTCTTTCATATCAAGTCAAAACAGAAGTGTAACGGCTGCTCTGAAGTCTGAGTCTGGTTTCCATAGTGGGGCTCCTGCTTTCGGCTGGGTGGCTCATATTTCTGAAGCTTAGGTATTGGAGGCTCCAGTGGAAACTGCCCCATTCTGAGGCCTGGCAGACTGCCTGCTCCCTCCCTCCCACCAGACTTCTTGGGGCCTCCCACCCACTCCCTGTTAAATACATGCATGCTGCAGGCAGTAAGGCCAGATGGGGATGGTATTGAGGTCTTGGGTTCTTAGTTCCAATCTGGTGTCAGGAGCCAAGGTGCTAGCAAAGGGAGCACTGTGCCACGTAGAAATCAGGGCCCTGCGGTCAATGGTGTCCAGGAAGGCTGATATCTGCATGTGGAAAGGAAGCTGCCAGGGGGAGAGATTCCACAGATAGGGAGGCTGAGCCAGGGAGTCATCTCCCTGTCTCTGCCCATTCTCTGTACACACTCAGCAGGGCATGGATATCCCTACCGTGTCTAGACCTATCATGATCTTCCCGACCACTGGTCTCTCAGAGCCAGAGTCAGGAAGAGTTAGGTGGAAGCCTTGCCATCCATGACCTGCATGGTTTAGGACAAGTCCCAGAAGGCCCCTGTGCTGCTGTGCTGTCATTTGTCACCTGGGGTAGGCTGTGGTGAGGATTTGGTGAGAGCCCACTGTCAGGCTCATGGTAGGTTCCTGCTATTTATATGTTCCCTCCCCTCTGCACTCTCTAACTGCTGATCCTTATGACTATAATTCAGCTAATGCTTATCAATTACCTGCACGTTAACAATCCCTATTACTGT